GTGCTCTGCCAACGAGGTGGGCTGTCAAGGGGAGGGATCGCTAGGTAGCTTTGAGGGGGGCGAGTTTGACCCCCAGGCTGGGGGCGGTGAACAGGCTGGAGTAAGTGGAGTGCGGTTTCCCTGAACTTTCCCCCCAGGAGAGTGGACAGAAGAACAGCCCCAAGCTTATGGTGCTCAGGCCGGACTTGGAGCTGGGTTTCCCACTCGGACTCTCTAATCTTGGGGGTCCAGGTAGGTATGTGCTCCATGTGACTCGCCTGTTAAAAAGGTTCTTTGCATTTTGTTTAAAAAAAGGTACATGGAAGTCTGGCCTCCCACCAAAGCCACTAGCATCATTCCTATTTTCAAGGCTCCCTGTGGCACAGATGTTTAGAATATGGATCCTGATAGAAGTCCGGGCTTTGTTTGGAGAGATGCCCCCCTACCCAAGGGGGGAAAAGCAGGCTGGGATCCCAGAGATTATCCGGGCCATCCAAAGCAACTTCACCAGCTTGCCTCCCAGAAAGGAAGTGTTTTATAATTGGCCACAATCCCCATGGCAACCATGGAGATGTAGAGTTAAAGTGTAACTGGGGTGGAAATTTTAAGTTTTAGGTTGCTGGAGGGATGCACAAGAGGGTGGAGTGCTGTAAATCCTGCCTGTTTGGGCTCTCTGTCCAGTCACCGTGCCTCTGGCCGGCAGAAAGCTTTCCCATAAATTAGGGGGAAATGGTTCTCCGTTCCTGGCCTGCCAAGTTGTGTTTCTTGGACTTGCTGTACCCTTGTCCTGCTATTTATCAGACAAGTGTATGTCATTTTGTTTTTCAGACCAAACGATATCACTGTGTGATAGACGATGCTCCTCCTTCCATCCCAAGGACTGATGGATATAAAGAGCTGGAGTCTTGGAGGAGGCTTAAAGCAAGCATATAAGTGCAGGAAGTTCTAGGTCCCCGGAAGAATATCTGAACTCATGATAGGTACTCTTGTGCTACAACTAGTTTATTTTGGGGGGGGGGGGCTGTCAGTGCAGTGTTGGATAAAGTCAGCAAAAATCATTTTCATACCACATTCTTCCTCTCTCTTCCTTTCTCATCTCCTCCCTGCCTTCATTTCTGTCTTCAAGGACTGGGGCTAAATAAAGGCCACTATTGGCCCTATGACGAGAAGGTCGCTTATCATATTTCAGAAAGATAATCTAGCATGGTTTTCCTGAGTGGCTAGGTAGTGTCGACTCAAGGCCATGGTGGATCCTGCCCTCTGCCCCAACAGTGAACTTAGACGGCATTGGTACGTAGATGTTTATGCACATCGGCATAAAAGTATCAACACAGAAGCTATTTTTTGTGCACGTGTGCAATGCATGAAGTATACACTCAAGGAAGGATGGGTATCTACAGAAACACCTTCTCACAGACCCTTTTGTCACCTCAACTGCAGTAGCCAAGTAGGACAGGAGAACAATGCCATATGCTCTGGCCCAAGGTCTTCTGCTGCCTGAGGTGCACTAAGAAATCCCACCCCCTTCCTGGAGAATCCTCTATCTCTTAGCCAGACTCCATCACAGGAAGAAAGTGGGAAGCCCTTTATGTCTTTGAGGAGAAGCAGCATATGCCTACAATAAGATATTTCTAAAAGCGAATAGACATAAGGAGTGTGGCACTACACGTATTATTAATGGTTTAAGATTTGCATCCTTAAAATGTGATTGGGCAGCTCCCTACTTTGTTTTCCAACATTTATAGGAGTGTACGGTAGAGATAAGACCTATTTGGAACCCATTTGGAAATTGAACTTGTGGAGACCCCGGGAAAGGAAAGTGTTTTTTGAGGGCCAGGAGCAACTTATCTAATTGATACTACAAATGCTTAAAAAGAGAGTCTCTTATCTCTCATTTTCTCCAGCCAAATGTCTCCCTTTTCTGCACGATCATCAGCTTAGAGCAGTGTTTCTCAACCTTGGCAACTCTAAGATGTGTGGACTTCAACTCCCAGAATTCCCCAGCCAGCCATGTTGAAGTCCACACATTAAGAGTTGCCAAGATTGAGAAACACTGGCTTAGAGGAACTATAGTGAACCTGTTCATCTATATTCAGCAATGAGTTCCTGGAGGGGAAACAGTGTTAGGTTTTTGCTTCAGAAACAACAAAAGAGTCCTATGGCCCTTTAAAGACCAACAAATATATTGTGGTACAGATAGTCCTCATTTACTGACCACAGTTGGGACCAGCAACCTGGTCATTAAGTGAAGCAGTTGCTAACTAAAACCGTGACTGTGCTGACAATCTTACTTCAGCTTTCCTTTGCTTTACAGACCTGTGAAGGTCATAAATGCAAGGACTTGTTGCAAAGTTACTTTTTTATCACTGTTGTAACTGAACAGTTGCTAAATGAAGCTGTTGCTAAAAGACTACCTGTATAAGTTTTCATAGACTACACCCACTTCTTCAGGTGCAAGTGCTGTTGAATTCAGGTAAATATATGTAGATTCAGCCTAATAGCCACAAACCTTGTTCATTGACTTAGAAAAAAGACCCATTATGGTCAGTAAGATTTCTGTTAAGTAAATAAAAATATATTTTTACACCATAAATACTCTTCATCTTACGCCACCATCTGATTTCCTTCCTTAGGGCTGCTTTAAATCCCCTGATTTCAAAGCTTCCTCTTCCATTTTTCTGAAGAAAAAGGAAGAAAAGAAGCGCCAAGTAGACTGAACTATAAGAGCGTCCTGCCCTCCAGCAGTGGAAGCGTAACAGTGGTCTACTTAAAAGGCCTCAGCCCCAGTGCCAATTTTAATACAGGTAGTTCTCAGTTAATTACTGTAATTGGGACCAGCGACTCTGTCGCTAAGCGATGCAGTCATAAAGCAAAACATGTGACCATGCCAACTTACAACAGCAGTTCTGACAGTGGTCTTCAAGCGAATCACTCGCAGTCATTAAGCACAGTGTCACGTGACTGCGACTTGCAACCTCTTGCCAGCCTCCACATTGACTTTGCTTGCCAGAAGCTGGCTCTAAAGGTCGCAAATGACAATCACGTGACCACAGGGACACTGCGACTGTTGTAATTGTGCACCGGATGCCAAGCACCCAAATCACAATCACATGACCACAGGGACGCTGCAATGGCCACAACTTCAAGGACTGGTGATAAGTCTCCTTTTTCAGTACCGTCGTAACTTCGAACAGTTGCTGAACGAGTGGTCTGTAAGCAAGGACTACCTGTGTGGATTAAGTGGGGTTTATTTGCCTTGGTACAATCAGTTTTAAAAGTTGTTTACAAACAGGAGAAGACGGTGAGTTCGAAAAGCCATCAGCTGTGATCATAGTTTCTTCCTGTTGCTTTGGGCTGGATTTGCTCTTGCCTACAGTAGTTACAGCTGTGCTAAAATGTGGAATTGTTCACTTGTTTTCTATGTTCAGTAAACTGAGCCAGAAGAATGGAGTAAAAATTGGCTTCCAAAGATCCAAGAAGTTGTTTCTGCACACATAAGGCTCCTCTGCCCTTACCTTTGGGGCAGCAGAAGCTCACAGACAGTTATTCACAAGTTCCTGGGCTAAACCCATCCTAAACAATGATAGCAGGTTCTTTTCTCACATAAAGACTGTACATAAGGCAGACTTATTTTATTATCTCAGTCTTGTTAAAGGAAACCACAGCTTCAGAGGATTACAGGCAGGTGAACACTACGTGAATACTTGCACACACTCCAGAGCATTGTGCAGCCCTTTTTTCCCAGGCAGGGTCTTTTAAGCAACAGGGAAGCGTCTGTATTTTGAAATCCTCAGAAGACATTCCTCCTGCTTCGTGACTTAGAATGAAGGACGTAACGATCTGCCATTGTGCAGTTTGTCCATCTAGCAGAGTCCCATGTGGCCTGATGACAGCACTTTTCTGGGTCTCCAGCAAAAAGGATGTCTTTTCCTATCACGTGTAACCCGATCTCTTGAAAATTAGAGATAGAAGGGATTGAATACAGTACAAGACCTTGGGGTTTTTTTGCATGTGTACACGCATGCTGTGGGCTTATGGCTGAGTCTGAGCCTCACTAGCAGAAAGTACTGAATTGGGGGAAGAAACGGGAGCTGATCAAGGGTTCTGAATCCAGTCTTAGGATCACATTAGTTAGGCTTCCCTATAGATGTGCATCGTTAAGTTCTTTGCAGGCACAGGTTGAATGCCCAATGGAAATCACTCCTACAACTTAATCAGGAAATTTTTCTTTTCTTGCACTTGATCTAACATAATGAAAACGATTTACAGGCCATAGGATAGCAGAGAGATTAGTCCTTAATTAAAATCAGATTGTCTCGTGTAATGTGCCTTGTAAACTTCCACGTTGTACTTTATTGGAGCTTTGTCTGATCCTCAGATGAGTCTTCTGATCATTTTGCAATCCTTTTCAAGCCAAGGAGTTGTAGCTGTGTGTGCAGAAGGCCCTTGGCTCAATCAGCCTTTGGTGGCTTCAGTTAAAATCTCATTGTGCAACAGATGATGGAAAGACCACTTGCTTGGAAGCTGTTGCAGCCATAGTAGACTAATTGATTGCTCAGTCTGGCTTGGTGGGAGGTTGTTTCTATCCTTCAGTTTCAGTGATATCTATCACTGAATATTGATAAATATATTTATATGGCAGGGGTAATAGATGTAACAGTGCCAAGTGACAGCAGCATCAGGAAGAAGGAGCATGAGAAGCTGGAGAAGTACCAGGGCCTGAAGGAAGATCTAGAGAGGATGTGGAAAGTAAAGGCGAAAGTGGTCCCAGTGTTGGTAGGAGCGCTCGGGGCCGTGACCCCTAAGCTGGGAGAGTGGCTCCAACAGATCCCAGGAACAACATCCGAGCTCTCTGTCCAGA